GTGTACGGGGCTGAGCACCTTCTTTGTATGGCTCAGACCCCACCATCTCACGATTGTATGTGTGTGGAGTGATGCTATGTGAGTCAGTCTATGTGAGTCAGTCCATTTATCAGACTTCCGTTGCATCTATTCTCATCCTACATTGGTTGATTCTTGGTTCTGCCCATACTCATTGGAGTATGTAACATGAACCCTTTGACCCATGTTGAAGGCAGACTGTCCCCAAGCGGGATATAGCAGCGGGCAGCAACCCTGTGGAGCACCAGGCAACACAGTAGAGGCAGCTCAACTGCTTATCACCAAAGACGACTGCAAGGAACGACAGGGCAAGCGGACGAGCAGCTCGACAACCGTGTGGTGAAGCGCAAGGCAACATCAGCAAGGCGACGATACTACAAAGCACGCAAGCAAGTAAAGGACGCGGAAGGCCAACAGGGCAAGCAGACGAGCAGCTCGGCAACCATGCAGTGAAGCACAAGGCATCACCAACAAGGCAACCGAACTACAAGGCATGCACGCAAAGGACACTGAAGGCCGACAGGGCACACGGACAAGCAGCTCAGCAGCTGTGCAGCGAAGTGCAAGGCACCACCACAAGGCTACCAAACCACAAGGCACGCGAGCAAAAGACACGGGAGGCACGACCCGCGGGTAGGCGGCAAGGCAGCAGAGCAGCGAGGACAACCTGCAAAGCAAGCGGCAAGGCAGCAAGACCGTGGCAGAGCGCAGACTAGACAGTCTACACATCCAACACGGAGCAAAGCAGCATATGACCTACTCACATCACGATAGAACCCCGCAGACTGTTGGTTCCCACCACCTGCTGAGCCAGAGGGACACTCCGACGACCATCCGTCATCACCGACAGGCAACACAGACATCCCGAACCGAGCGGCCCCCCTAAGAGTGCAGTTGGCACTCCAAACGAGGAACCACCGACTGTTTGGCACTGTTAGAGGGTGCTCGGCTAGAGACACAAAAAGCGCTTAGAAAAAATAAGAGAAAGAGGAAAAACAAGCATACCTAAAACTGATTGTGTGTGTGTGTGTGTGTGTGTGTGTGTGAGAGAGAGTGTGTGTGTGTGTGGATGAGAGAGAGAGAGAGAGAGAGAGAGAGAGAGAGAGAGAGAGAGAGAGTCGAAATTTGACATTGCTTGCTGATGTCCCTCCCTTGCATGCTATTTTGACTCTTCTGCCTCATTACGTGGACTGCAGGTGCGCGGGCTGCAGCAAGCCACCGTGAGAAGTTAAGGAAAGCAAAAGAGGATGCCGAACAGGTGTGCAGGGTGACGACTGAGCTCCAGGAGAAGTTTGCTCAGGTGAGTGTGGTTCAAAGTGTGCCGTTTGCCTCCTTCCCATCAACGAAAATTGCACGTGCACATCTGTTGCCGTCTATGTATCATGTTCTGTTGTTGCATATTTCCTGGCATGAACTGGGTTGTGGACGTGGACACCTCGAATCAAAATTATCCTGCATGTTGCATCTCTCTCTCTCTCTCTCTCTCTCTCTCTCGCGCACACACATTCCCACGACCCTTTCTCCCTCCGCCATTATGGATACGTCTGTCCCCGCTCAATCTTCACCTGTCCATTGTTCTGCGTTCTCCTGCTCTGGCTCAATGTTTGTCTCTCTTCACCCCTCTGAACGACTTTCTTTATCTCCATCACTCCCTCTGCCCCCCTCAAAACAGTATCCGATGGTGTTGCGGTTGGCAACCTTGAGGATAACATCAAAGGTTGCAAAACCAAAATTGACAGCCGAAGCATGATTAAAACCCCCTTCTTTGTGCCCAACCCGTAAAAGCATGAAGAAATCATTTTCACATCAAACATGTATCAGTTGATTAAGGCAATTGACATGTCACATGGAGTTGCACACTCCGCAGCAAACAGACCAACATGACATGCTCACATCGAGTTCCTGGTGGGCATCCGTCCGGCTGCCCAATGCTGGCAGTTAAAATACCAGAGGACAATCTAGCATGTGCCATTTCTGCCCAACGTCTTAACTCGCATAAAGACCCCACTGCTGGAAAACCCTCTGCGCAGATTTTTTTTTTGCTTGCAAACCTGCTGTAAATGTACATAATATATGCCTTGAAGGTTTGAAGACTAGGCTACCAGCCAGGTTACCCAGGCGACGGGGGCTGTTCGAATGGGCTGGCCGGGCAAGGACTGCGCCAAGGTTCCCGCAGCCGATGTTTGGTCATCCCTCATTACAACCTGAATACTGTATCTTACAATGGCGCTTTTCCTGCCCTGCACTGTACATCAAAGGTGGTCCGACATTTGTTCTGTTGCTAATACTTGCTATGCATGGATGCCTTTGCCAATCGTATCCCCAATTTTCCAATATAGTCAGCGTGGGATGAATGGTGTAGCTACTAACTATGTAAATGGAGCGGCATGTGTGGTTGTGCACTTCACAGTTTTGAATCTTTTGATAAACGAAATCCCAATATAGTCAGTGTGGGATGAATGGTGTAACTATTAACTATGTACCTGGAGTTGCGTGTGTGGTAGTGCACTCCACAGTTTGGATAAAGTAAAGGATGAGGTGAGGGAAGGTCGGTACCGGTAGGCTCTGTTTCTAGCATGGAGTTGCGTGTGTGGTAGTGCAGTTCACCGATTTTGCTTACCGGTCGCTCTGTTAGGCTCTGTTTCTAGCATGGAGTTGCGTGTGTGGTAGTGCACTTCACTGATTTTGCTTACTGGTTGCTCTGTTATGTTATGTTATTATTTCCTTCCATGGATTGTGATTCCTGTTGTTGCTAATCTGACTTACTTAGGGTTAGAATGGTGGGGGGAAAAAAAAGAAAAAAAAGAATGGTGACTCAGTGCAAGAAAACGCTAACAGTAGAGAGAGAGACTATGTCAAGAAAAAATCTAACAAGTTCTTCAGCTGAGGAAGGGTTTTCTGATGTGTGCATTTGTTGTGTATGTAGTTGCCTGTTTCAGTGGAAGCACTTGAAGATGCAATTCAAGACACGGAGTACCGAGCAAACGCGATCCTGTGCCATAATCCGAACGTTGTTGCTGAGTACGAGTTGAGATCCAGGCAGGTGTGTAATCAAGTCAGTCCAGAACCTTGCTCAACACGTGTTGTAGGAAGAGGGGTTGGTCTGGCTAATTTAATGCTCTCACCCATGCCTCACACCAGGGGTTGATTGACAACATTGCGATCGAGCCCGCTTCCGCACTAGGACTGAATTTCTTTCGTGTTTCATGGAGGTCATTGTAGGCATCCAGCACTAATGACCATGATGAACATTTTCTTGATGCTGTTTAAGGAGGTTGACGCCAGTAGTTTGTCTGATTCAGGTGCAATTGGGAGTACCGGACCGTTCAGTGGTTGCCACGTACTCTTTTAGGAGGTTCGAGTTTGTCTACTTCAGCTTTGTGTTTGGAGTTGGCCCCGACAGAAATAGATGTATTTGTGAAGAAGAGTCACAGGTTCATATTTCTTTCACTGCTGGTCACACACCCATGTCACACAGTACTAACACCTCGCCTCTGGGAGAGATTTTCTGCCTCTCTTTTTCTATTATAGCTGTTTAGAGGTGGTACTGCTTGTGTATGTCAAATTAGATGCCCATGGGATGACTATTTCATAGTGTATCTTCCTGATACGTGCACTCAAGGCCCCTCTTGGAAATGAAAACTTATGGACAAAATGCAAATACGTTCCTCAGCTGTATAAAACGAAGAAGAAGAACAGAAGACTGGCAGTGTGTGAATGACATTTCTCAGTTGTATATTGCACGGCTGGTCGCAATGGTTATTGCCATGGTTGCGTCGCACCTCGGGGCGCGGATTTGCGCACGCGTTGCGCACCACACCGAGGTGCACCGCATCGGAAAAATTAAGGTACGGAAAAAAAATCTCCTCTTCTCCCTCTCTGCCTACTGTTTACCGGGCAGCTCTGTTTGGCAATATATAAGTGTTTTGTAATTTCTAAGCGCCCTCCTGCCCC